GGAGTCACAAAGGGGTGGGAACAGGACCAGGAGTCACACAAGGGGGTGGGAACAGGACCAGGAGTCACACAAGGGGGTGGGAACAGGACCAGGAGTCACACAAGGGGGGGGAACAGGACCAGGAGTCACACAAGGGGGTGGGAACAGGACCAGGAGTCACACAAGGGGGTGGGGACAGGACCAGGAGTCACACAAGGGGGTGGGAACAGGACCAGGAGTCACACAAGGGGGTGGGAACAGGACCAGGAGTCACACAAGGGGGTGGGAACAGGACCAGGAGTCACACAAGGGGGTGGGAACAGGACGAGGTAGTCACACAAGGGGGTGGGGACAGGAGGACGAGGAGTCACACAAGGGGGTGGGAACTAGGCCGAGGAGTCACACAAGGGGGTGGGAACAGGACCAGGGAGTCACACAAGGGGGGGGGGACAGGACCAGGAGTCACACAAGGGGGTGGAACAGGACCAGGGAGTCACACAAGGGGGTGGGGACAGGACCAGGAGTCACACAAGGGGGTGGGAACTAGGACCAGGGGGTCACACAAGGGGGAGGGAACAGGACCAGGGAGTCACACAAGGGGGTGGGGACAGGACCAGGAGTCACACAAGGGGGTGGGGACAGGACAGGAGTCACACAAGGGGTGGGAACAGGACCAGGAGTCACACAAGGGGGGTGGGAACAGGACCAGGAGTCACACAAGGGGGTGGGAACAGGACCAGGAGTCACACAAGGGGGTGGGAACAGGACCAGGAGTCACACAAGGGGGTGGGAACAGGACCAGGAGTCACACAATTAGTCACGTCACAATTAGACGAGCCAAAACTAAATACTACGAAGATAAATTTACCCAAATAAAGAGCAACATTAAACAAACTTGGAGAACAATTTCACAAATATTGGGATCAAAGAAGTCTTTAAATAACAAACCGACTCTCCTGTCTAATAACGATGGTCAGCTTTCAGCCTCTGATTCTGCTATTGAGTTCAATAGGTTCTTCTCTTCCATTGGTTCATCCCTTGCAAATGATATTCCATCTTCCAGTACTGACATTAAGGACTATCTTACAGGTAAACTATCCACAGTCTCTGTACCTAAAGCTATTAATTCCACTGACGTCAATGAGATAATACTTTCCCTTAAAACCAAGTCTGGTGCCCTTGAGGAGATACCAACTTTATTTACAAAAAAGCCTCCAGATCTTTAGCCCCTGCTATTGCTTTGCTCTTCAACAAGTCACTGAACTCCAAACCTTCCCAGATATTCTAAAAAAAGCGAGAGTAACGCCTGTCCACAAATGTGGTGATCTCACAGATGTTAACAACTACAGACCTATATCTATCCTGCCAAACTTGTCAAAAAATTTGAAAAACTAATCTATAAGCAGCTTTACTCATATCTAGCCAAACTCAATATACTTGCCCTTGCCAATATGGCTTCAGACCCCAAAAAAGCACTAACGATGCACTTATTGGTATGCTTAACTCGATTCATACAGCTCTTGATAAAAATGAGTTCCCTGTTGGGTTGTTTGTGGATCTGCGTAAAGCTTTTGATACTGTCAACCACCAAAACCTTCTTCTTAAATTACATCATTATGGAGTCAGAGGACACTCCCTACAATACCTCAAATCCTACCTTACTGACAGGCTCCAATATGTTTCTGTGAATAATACAATTTCTCCCACCTACCCATCAACATTGGTGTTCCCCAGGGCAGCATACTTGGCCCTCTCTTCTTTCTCATCTACATTAATGACCTTCCAAATGCCTACCAACACCTCAAACTAATTCTATTGTGCTGACGACACAACCTTCATTTACTCCTGTCCTGATCCCCTTGCTCTAAATGCCACAGTAAATACTGAGCTAAATAAAGTCCATCTGTGGCTAACTGCCAACAAACTCACCCTTAACATTGACAAAACTTTCTATATTCTGTTTGGCAATAAATCCTCTAATCAAATAAATCTCAAAATAAAACAATACCCAAAATTGTAACAAATTAGATGGCAAATTCCTTGGCATTCTCATTGACCACAAGCTGAATTTCCAGGGACACATTCTAAACATATCAAAAAAAGTGTTTCAATAAAAACTGTGGGCATTCTTTCTAAGATCAGGTTATTATGTACCACGCCCTGCCCTGGTGACTCTCTATTACTCCCTTATCTATCCATATCTCAACTATGGTATTTGTGCTTGGGGCTTCTACTTCCCAAAATCACTTACGTCCTCTAATTACTCAACACAAAGCTGCTATTAGGACAATATCCAATTCTGGCCACAGACATCACTCGGTACCCCTACTCAAATCTCTGAATATGTTAGACATTAAGTCACTGCACATCTCTCTCATGTGTAGTATACATATATAAAACGCTAAACTATAAGGCCAATCCTGATCTCAAAAGCTTCATAGAAGGTTGTAACAGAACCCATGAGCACCACACCAGAAATAAATACAGTTTTGATATTCCTAGAGTACGACTTAATCAAAACTAGGGAACAGGACCAGGAGTCACACAAGGGGGGTGGGGACAGGACCAGGAGTCACACAAGGGGGTGGGGACAGGACCAGGAGTCACACAAGGGGGTGGGAACAGGACCAGGAGTCACACAAGGGGGTGGGGACAGGACCAGGAGTCACACAGGGGGTGGGGACAGGACCAGGAGTCACACAAGGGGGTGGGGACAGGACCAGGAGTCACACAAGGGGGTGGGAACACGACCAGGAGTCACACAAGGGGGTGGGGACAGGACCAGGAGTCACACAAGGGGGTGGGGACAGGACCAGGAGTCACACAAGGGGGTGGGGACAGGACCAGGAGTCACACAAGGGGGTGGGAACAGGACCAGGAGTCACACAAGGGGGTGGGAACACGACCAGGAGTCACACAAGGGGGTGGAGACAGGACCAGGAGTCACACAAGGGGGTGGGGACAGGACCAGGAGTCACACAAGGGGGTGGGGACAGGACCAGGAGTCACACAAGGGGTGGAGACAGGACCAGGAGTCACACAAGGGGGTGGGAACAGGACCAGAAGTCACACAAGGGGGTGGGAACAGGACCAGAAGTCACACAAGGGGGTGGGAACAGGATCAGAGTCACACAAGGGGTGGGGACAGGACCAGGAGTCACACAAGGGGTGGGAACAGGACCAGGAGTCACACAAGGGGGTGGGAACAGGACCAGGAGTCACACAAGGGGGTGGAGACAGGACCAGGAGTCGCACAAGGGGGTGGGAACAGGACGAGGCACTAAACTACAGGTGGTGATGGTATGTAAATAATTATAACAATAATTCATTGTGTGGGGGACAGGCAGCTAGAGTGTATTCATACACGTTAGACTTATATCGATTATAGCATTTATAGCGTACCCTTACACTATCCACACGAAGATAAGGGGGAGATGCTGTCGAATGGAGGGTGTGGAAGGAAAACGGGTGAAACGGAGGGGCCTGAAGCTAAGAGGTGTGAGGAATTATAGCGACTCATACCTCCGAGAAAAGAGAACGAGAGGAGGAGGTGCCAGGCGGATGAGGCGAAGGATGAGGCAATGAGAGCAGCAGCGATCATAATGGAGCCGGCCATGGCGACCCGCCTGTGACCCAACTCGCTGGTCAGCGGCCCCACCACCGGTCCCGTCACGTTCCATACCAGACTGAAGGTGTTGAAGATCCAGGCGACAGTGGTGGAGGAGGACCCCAGCGTATGCAAGAGGCTGGAGAATACCAGGCTGAAGCACGGCCCCACCGTCGACACAAGCGTCTGCCAACACCACAAGGAAATATGTTAGAATTAGAAACAGCTGCGTTATTCGTAATGTTTTGTTTTACTAAGTACTGCAATTCTGACTGAGTTGAATAGATATACACCTGTAAAAATAATTTGTTATAAACAAATATATAATTTGTTTAAACTAAAGGACTTCTCAGACTACTCTTTATTTTATTTTCCGAGGCTAGGGGTCCTTACACTTGCACCAGAGGTGGTACCTGGTTGATACCTGGTTGATACCTGGTTGATGGGGTTCTGGGAGTTCTTCTACTCCCCAAGCCCGGCCCGAGGCCAGGCTCGACTTGTGAGAGTTTGGTCCACCAGGCTGTTGCTTGGAGCGGCCCGCAGGGCCACGTACCCACCACAGCCCGGCTGATCCGGAACTTCTCTTAGAAAACCGTCCAGTTTTCTCTTGAAGATGTCCACGGTTGTTCCGGCACCCTCACAATTTACACACACAGACACAGACACACACACACACACTGTGTGTGTGTGAACTGTGAACGAGGGAACTGTGCCTTACGACACTAGAAAGAAGAAGGGAGAGGTGGGACATGATAGGAACGTATAAGATACTCAGAGGGATTGACAGAGTGGACATAGACGAAATGTTCACACGGAATAGTAACAGAACGAGGGGACATGGATGGAAGCTTGAAACTCAGATGAGTCACAGAGATGTTAGGAAGTTTTCTTTTAGCGTGAGAGTAGTGGGAAAATGGAATGCACTTCAGGAACAGGTTGTGGAAGCAAATACTATTCATAATTTTAAAACCAGGTATGATAGGGAAATGGGACAGGAGTCATTGCTGTAAACAACCGATGCTCGAAAGGCGGGATCCAAGAGTCAATGCTCGATCCTGCAGACACAACTAGGTGAGTACAACTAGGTGAGTACACACACACACACACACACACACACACACACACACACACACACACACACACACACACACACACACACACACACACACACACACACACATGGGATCCAAGAGTCAATGCTCGATCCTGCAAGCACATATAGGTGAGTACACACAATGCAGCGGATGTGTGGTGCCCATATCTCAAGAAGCACATCAACAAACTAGAAAAGGTGCAAAGACATGCTACTAAGTGGCTCCCAGAACTGAAGGGCAAGAGCTACGAGGAGAGGTTAGAGGCATTAAATATGCCAAAACTGGAAGACAGAAGAAAAAGAGGTGATATGATCACTACATACAAAATAGTAACAGGAATTGATAAAATCGATAGGGAAGATTTCCTGAGACCTGGAACTTTAAGAACAAGAGGTCATAGATTTAAACTAGCTAAACATAGATGCCGAAGAAATTTAAGAAAATTCACTTTCGCAAACAGAGTGGTAGATGGTTGGAACAAGTTAGGTGAGAAGGTGGTGGAGGCCAAGACCGTAAGCAGTTTCAAAGCATTATATGACAAAGAGTGCTGGGAAGACGGGACACCACGAGCGTAGCTCTCATCCTGTAACTACACTTAGGTAATTACACACACACACACACACACATGTACTCGGACCTATCCTGTTTCTGATATACGTAAATGATCTCCCAAAGGGTATAGACTCATTCCTCTCATTGTTTGCTGACGACGCCAAAATTATGAGAAGGAATAAGAAAGAGGAGTATGTAGCAAGGACAAGCTGCAGGAAGGGTCGAACAAGTTGTTGTTAGAGTTTAACCCGACCAAATGTAATGTAATGAAGATAAGTGTAGGGAGCAGATGACCAGATACAAGGTATCATTTGGGAGATGAAATACTTCAAGAGTCAAAGAGAAAGACCTGGGGGTTGATATCATGCCAGACCTGTCCCCCTGAAGCCCATATCAAGAGGATAACATCAGCGGCATATGCCCGGTTGGCCAACATAAGAATGGCCTTTAGAAACTTGTGTAAGGAATCATTCAGAACTTTGTATATCACATATGTCAGACCAATCCTGGAGTATGCGGCTCCAGCATGGAGTCCATATCTAGTCAAGGATAAGACTAAGCTGGAAAAGGTTCAAAGGTTTGCCACCAGACTAGTACCAGAACTGAGGGGTATGAGCTACGAGGAAAGACTACAGGAATTAAACCTCATGTCACTGGGAGATAGAAGAGTTATGGGGACATGATCACCACATACAAGATTCTCAGAGGAATTAATAGGATGGATAGACAGACAATTTAACACCAGGAGCACACGCACTAAGGGACACAGGTGGATAATGAGTGCCCAAATGCGCCATAGAGACATTACAATTTTTTTCAGTGTTAGAGTAGTAGACAAATGTAGCATTAGGAAGTGATGTGGTAGAGGCTGACTCCATACACAGTTTCAAGTGTAGATATGATAGAGCCCAATAGGCTCAGGAATCTGTACACCCGTTGATTGACAGTTGAGAGGCGGGACCAAAGAACCAGAGCTCAACCCCCGCAAGCGCAACTAGGTAAGTACAACTTGGTAAGTACACATACATACACCCGCAACCTTCAGTAAACACTGCTCATCTTAAACGAACAAGCAGTTTACACATTCTCTTGCGTCTTAAACATATTCAAGAACCCTGAAACGTAATACCATGTCAGCTCTAAGACTGTGATAGTTCTTTTGCTTGGCTCTACCTCTCAAAATTTTATTAAAATAAAGACTACAACAACTATGGAATAATTTACCAAATAATATTAATAATAATAATATACACAGGAAGCCTGTGTTAGTTAATTTATTATGCACCCCATACCCATCTTGTGGGCGGTAGTGGAAAGGGTTACATTATGTGCCAGAGACACATAATGGGCTCAGGGACTGAACCCCACAATTCATTTAGCTAAACAAGTTAGAATATTGATGAGCTAATTACAAAATTCTGTATAATTAACTAAAATTAATTAAGTCCATGTAACCTACCTTACCCCTAAATATGTCAACCCATATCTTACTATGTTTAAACAATGCTGTTTGTTGACCAACTTGTATATTGGCTATTTTCTACCATGTTCCCCCCTTCTTTTTTATTTATTTTTTCCTTCAACGCAATTTATACTTTAAGCTCAATTACTATTAAGTTTTAGTCTAAGGGGTTTTACCCCACCTCATCTTGCCCGAAACACTATGCGTACTATAATAAGTGGCTTTATGTAATGTATGTACTAACTCTATCTATAAATCCAACATTATGTTTGTAAATCAACTATGTATGTACTTTCCTGAATAAAATTTACTTTACTTTTCTTTACTTACTTTACTATAAATTGTCACATCATCAATGGGTTCGACATCGACCACAAGTACAGTTTCGGGTATATCAGCTCTGAGATACCTCCAAGGTTGAACTATTGACCCTCCCCAGGTTGCCACCCCACAACAGTTGCCTAACTCTTGGGTATCTATGTACTATTAGGTGAACAGAGCCGTTAGGTGAAAGGAAACGTGCCCAACCATTTCTGTCCCATCCGGGAATCGAATCCGGGTTGTTCAATTGTGAGCAGTGGTGATTAACTGTTGAACACAGTTAATTATACGTTCGAGTATGCGCATGAGCAGTTATACATACAAACGTGCATGACTTAATTCATTCAAACTGAAATAATACACACAAAAAATGTGAAAATATAAGATAAAAGACTAGTTACGTAGGAGCCGGTGAGTCAGTTCAACAGTTAACATATATATATGTTCTTCAATGATGTGAGTTGCTTTGCTAAACAAATTCTGGGACTCATTTTCTGAGCCCAATGTGTGCCTTTAATTGTTGCCACCAGCTTAGGCTAGCTTATTGCGTACCCAATACTGATCACACGAAAGAGCGCAAAAGCATTACGTACCCGTGCCATCTCTTGGGTGGCTTAATCTTCATCAATCAATCAATCTCAACAGATATTTTACATTTGTGCCTCTGTAACCTTTTTCCCTATTTAAAGTCACAGGATGGGTATGGGTTGAATAATAAATAAGTTAAAGTAAACAACTGACCATGACAACAAAGGATCCCAAGAGAACCAGCCAAGACCAGCCGCCGTCCGGACCGGCTATCACGACTGTGTCATCCTCTTCTCTGTGTTCACATATTTCTTCTGTTATTGTCAGCTGCAGTGTGTCCACTACTTCTTCATCCTTTCTTATACAAAGTGCTTGTAATTCCTGATCCGCTGCTTCTGGAAGCACATGCTGAGTTTTAATCTCGTTATCCTGGACGATATGTTGTGGGAAGTGTGTTTGGCGTTGTGACATTGAACAGGGAGAGTTTCTTCCTTGCATCTTATATTTATCTGACTTATGTTAACAGTTTACTTAAATACAATATATGTTCACAGTACAAAGCAACGATGTATAACAGTTCACAGTATTCAATATATTTTCTTCTGCTAAATTGTAGTTGATACACATTCACACGTCTCCAGTTATAGGGTGTTTGTCTCTTATGTAGCTGAGGGAACACGTTAGAGCAATGGTGCCGAGGAGACACCGATACAATGTGAGCACTAGCGTGCGTGGTGGTAGTGCGTGGTGGTGGTGGTGGTAGTGGTGGTGGAGGTTGTCGTATATAGCATGCTGGGCTGACCCTTGACTCCTGCACTGGCGGCGCCCAGCTGAATTAATTATGTCTCGTATTCTCCATGCTCCATATACGGTCTCGACTATACAAATATCTCCAGCTTGCTTGAGTAGTGTTATTCACCAATTCAAAATAGATATATAATATCAAGCATGATGATGTATAATTCAATAAAGCGAAAAATCAGAAGTTCTTCAGGTTTAGGGCAACTGCTGGCGTATTCGCAAGACAAGAAGTGGTAAAACGTGGTTCACTGACCCTAATGTTGGATGAGCTGGTGCACAGTATTGTGAAGAGCTCAACAAAAGGACAGAAGCATATTGAAAAATAGGATCTTTTCAAACAACGTAAGAGGTGGGGTTGTGTGGAATAGGGGATAATAAGAGCAGCTGGCCTTGAACCCTTACGTTTGTTAAAAATAGATCCTGCCCTACAAACCCTGTTCGCATTTGTGGAAACGGTAACCAGCTACTCAAAGGAATTCCGGTTGATTTAGTAGTATACATGGATTTTACTAAAGCTTTCAATAAGGTACCACATGAAGGACTGGAAGGAAATTACAGGAACGTGGAATAAATGGTTAAATACTAGAATGGATAAAAACAAAGCGTCGTGTTAAATGGGAAAGAATCTGAATGGAGAAATGTGGTAAGTGTGGTACCACAGGGTCAATTTTGGGGCCAATTTTGTTGTCATATTTATCAATGGCATCAATGGCATTGAGAATTTTTCAGTATTAAAACTATAAGTGTTAATGACTCTGAGGGCCACTAACACACTAGTGGCCTCGACGAGCACAGGAAGCTGGCGGCTTGTCAAAGTTCCCCTATTTGCCCTGATGATTTTTACCAGCTGGATTTTAAAATTTAACATTTTTGGCATTTACGACTTCGGCGGGTAGGCTGTTCCATGGATTTATGACCGTGTGGAAACAGAAAACGGGACAGTGCGCTAAGGCTGCAGTAAATAAAGACAGTATTGAATGGAATCTTGAGTTATCAAATAGGTCCCTTAAAAGTGTCATTAGACGAGAACTCCTAGATGGATTTGAAGAAAGTAGAACAGTGCAAACTGGAACTAGTAGGTCCATTGTTCATCACAATGAAATGTGTGAAGTAAAACATGTGTATGGGGCAAGTAACAAAGTCAGTAGACTAACAGATGTTGTCACAGCTCGTATAAGACTTGGCTACAAGTATCTCTGGCAGTTCGGCTTGTATAGGGATCTAGATGAAGTAAAGTGTAAAGTGTGTGGACATAGGCAGGGACACACACTCGAACACTATATCTTGGATTGTTGTAAAATTGAGCCTTTTAGAGATAAATCTAAGCTCACTCTGTATGATATGGCAATCTATCTATTACCATGGATAAATTACCTGAAATCCTTGCACTGTACCCACATTTTGCTTCCAGTAGATGAACGACATATGAGATTCAGAAACAAGTAGTGTATTGTGAGGACTAATAATAAACAGAAGCTTCCCTATGACTCTGTAATATCCCCATTGGCCAAACTATTATGTATTAACGACAAGACCTACCATTAATGTATGATGACTTACTGTAAATATGTAGCTCTTGTAATAGCACTTTCTCTGTAACTAGCTGACATTGTATTTATAAGGTGTGAAGGATTGAAGAAATTGTTTATGTAATAATCTAAGATGAGGTCTGATAAAGACCTTTTGTGCCCTCTGTAATGCTTTTGCGCTACCGCTCACAGGATGAGTATGGGGTGCACAATAAACTAGCCGCCTTCGGCGGCAACAATCAAATTTCGTGAGCCGATTCCATTTTCATTTACGGCAATTTTTAGTCGTAGCTCGCATACAAGCGAAAAGCGACGTTATTTATGCAACCTGTCCTCTTAAAATGAACGTCGCTTTTGGCCGTTTGTCCGTATGGCCGAATTTGGACGTAATTTGAAAATGAAAAAAATATGAAAATAAATTTTGGATTTTTTTTTTTCAACAACAGTAAGTTAAGGGTCCTCTGATAGGTTAGGTGGGCAGGAAATTCTCTTAAAGTTGCAAAACGTTATGAAAAACGTTAATTTAAAGTGTCCTCTTATAACCTCTGCGCGTACGCCGGACGACTCAAATAGAAAACGGAACAGAACGTCACTTTTGTGAGTCGATTTCATTTCAAATTACGTCCAAATTTGGCCATATCGCGCATACCAGCCAAAAGTGACGTTATTTTTAAGAGGACGGGTTGATTCATAAGCGGACGGGTTGCTCTAGAACCTATAGATGTATGTGAATCGAGATATGGGGGCACTAAACTATATTTACCAAAAGCCCACCTTCGCCAGTGACGACGAGGACAGGAAGCCGACAGCTTGTCAAAGGTTCCACATTTGTTCTGATGATTTTATCGAGCTGGATCTTATATTGCAGATGTGTTTCGGCATTTACAAATTTATTAATTATAGTAATTAATGGCATTACAGAGTAAATTTACATTTACTATGTAAAAATCCCCTTTGTTGCATATAGTTAATCATCATTGTAATTTGTTTATATGGCTGTATGTCTAATAAGATATTATTACACTATGATATTACACTACACCACATTACACAACACCATGATATTACACTACACCACATTACACAACACCATGATATTACACTACACCACATTACACTACACCATGATATTACACTACACCACATTACACTACACCATGGCCAAACCTGGTGGATAGCGCGCAGGACTCGTAATTCTGTGGCGCGGGTTCGATTCCCGCACGAGGCAGAAACAAATGGGCAAAGTTTCTTTCACCCTGAATGCCCCTGTTACCTAGCAGTAAATAGGTACCTGGGTGTTAGTCAGCTGTCACGGGCTGCTTCCTGGGGGTAGAGGCCTGGTCAAGGACCGGGCCGCGGGGACACTAAAGCCCCGAAATCAACTCAAGATAACCATGATATTACACTACGATATTATTACACTATTATTACATTATTCTAATAAGATATTAATACACTATTACATTATGATATCTGTGCATGGGGTTCAACCACTGCAAACCACCTCAAGTCCATCATCACCCAGCAAAAATCTGCTATCAGAATAATAACAAATTCTTCTTTCAGACAACACTCAGCCCCCTTGTTTAACTCCCTAAACATGCTAAACATAATCTCACTCCACAAATTCTTGTGTCAATTACATTTAAAAAACCCTGTTCTTAAATGCAAATCCTGCTCTGAAACTCTCCCTGGACAGATGTAATAGGACCCATTATCACCACACCAGAAATAAATATCTCTTTGATATCCCCAGAGTCAAACTTAATCTGTGTAAACACTCTATGCAAATAAAGGGACCCAGTCTATGGAACTCACTCCCTATTAAATTGAAAAGCTGTCCAACTTTTGCATCATTCAAAAACAATACTAAAAAGTACCTAATTTCATCTTCATAGTTTTATACCTTTTGCTTTAAAATTGCACTGTATCTATTGCTACCCAATCTCCCAATCTTTATGTACCCAATCTGAACATCTTTATCATTGTGATCATTGCTGTCTTCTTATATGTGCTGTCAATCTGCTGTATGGTGTCTATTAATCTTGTTTAAATTACCAATCAAGCTGTCAATGTAATCAATCAGAGCTTTAATATACCAATGTGCTTTAATATACTTACTAATCTCTCTCGTCTCATTTTTTTCTTGCAATGTATTTGTTATCATTTTATTAATTCTGATAGAATTTACCTACTTAAAATTATCTGTTAGATTAAGGACCTGCCCGAAACGCTGCGCGTACTAGTGGCTTTACAAGAGTGTAATTACTGTACTATGCTATGTATTCTCACAAACCCAATGTACCTTCTTGTACATAAATAAATAAATAAATTAATAAATAAATAAATTGAGATTTATATTTGTCTAGCTTAACAGCTGGCTATGATTAGCGTAACAGGCTGAATATTTATTTATTTATTTATTTATATATACAAGAAAGTACATTGGTGGTTAAGAGAGAACATAGAGTTTGAGTTCAAATTACAATCTTGTAAAGCCACTAGTACGCATAGCGTTTCGGGCAAGTCCTTAATCTAACCTTAGAGCAAATCCTTAAACTAACAGAAAGTTTTGGAGATATAAGAGTAAAAATGATAAAAAAGTGTTTAACAGGTACTTTACAGCTTTACTTTACAAGTACAGATGATTTTAAGTAGGATAATTACAGTAAAATTGTCAAAAAAAATTTTTACAGGTACATTGCAAGAATTTTTGACACAAAAGCTGATCAGAACAATACACAATAATGAACAAGGAATCCTAAGTACAATTAGGAAAACGTCTCAGGGTTATACATTGGATAACTGAAGCACAATATGAGGATCATTACAAGGAGTAATGCAGTAGAATATACACTCAATACAACAACTGTTATGCCTAGCGTAACAGCCTGGTTATGTCTAGTTTAACAGCCTATGTCTAGCTTAACAGCTTGACTGAATAGTCGGATGGCTTGGCGCTGTCCCCTGATAATTCCCTCCCTCTCTTCCTCTCCAACGCAATATTCAATAATAAACTAGCATTTCATGTTTTCTCCTAATTCCGTGTATAACTAACCATCCTGTGATATGAGATATTAGATGAATTCATATCTCGCTTTTGATCTATACTCTGAAATCCTTTATATCGAATGACGGCTGTAACAGAACCCATGTCCACCACACCAGAAACAAATACCTTTATGATATTCCAAGAGTTCGACTTAATCAAACTAGAAATGCTCTACAAATCAAGGTACCCAGAATGTGAAATGACCTTCCCAATCATGTTAAAGGCTGTACCTCTCTCAACCAGTTTAAGATAAAAACTAAGTACTACCTAATTAACTCCCTGTAACCTACCTTACCCCTTAAATGTCAACCCATGTCTGTTATTTTTAAACAATGCTGTTTGTCGACCAATTTGTATTTTTGCTTTC